GGCATTTTAAAAATAATAAAATAAAATTTTTAAAATTGCTATCTCATTTCCACCTCATTATCACTTTTATTTAAAATAAATAAAAACCCCTAATTTCTTCTAATCTCAATACCAATACCAATACCTAATCCAGCAACCGGCTCACACCTATCGTACGCCTAGAGGTCCGACGAAACCCCTCGAAACCGAACATGGAAGCCGCCGGTGGGAATCTCAATCTCAACGACAACGCGAATTCCGCTCTCGTCAATTCCTTCTGCGAGGTCACCTCCACCAGGCAGGAAGCTTCTTTCTTCCTCGAGAGCCACCAATGGGATCTCGACGCCGCCGTCTCCACCTTCCTCGACAATGATAACGCCACTGTCGCTGTCGCCCCTTCTTCTATTTGATAAGGATGACCGAGTCATCAGTGGGTTGTTATTGTTTGTTATTCTGTTCCTTCCCACAAGCACCTGTTTCCGTATTTGTCTCCACCTGTATCACACGTTCACATCATGTATGCCATCAGTAGTGTATAAAATCATCTCACAACAGCAATGAAATCATGAGAGAATTTTACCAATCTTCATGGTATCAGAGCACATCTAGCCACACGGCAGTGCTGATCCCTTGGACCTTCCTAATCTATTCTTCTTCGCATCTTTCAGTTTTTTTCCCCTTCTCTTTCCTCTCCTCAGTCTTGCTGCCGCCATGGCCTCTGGTACTACCTCTGATGCTACCAGCCCCCTTCCTCCTCAAAATCCTCCGCTTCTCCCACCTCCTCTACCCCACATCGCTGTCAAACTTACCTCCAAGAACTACCTTCTGTGGAAATTACAACTTCTTCCCCTTCTCACTAGTTACGATTTTGCCAAGCATATAGATGGCTCCTCCCCTGCGCCATCACGCCTACTTGATGGTAACGTCAATCCCGCCTATGATGCTTGGTACAAGCGGGATCAGCTGGTGTTTGCCTGGATCGTGCAATCACTCTCTGAAGCTGTTCTCTCTAAACTTGTTGGCTGCTCCACTGCCTTGGATGCTTGGACTCGATTGGCTGCGGCTTATGGATCTAAAAATCGTCACAGCATTCGCCAACTCAATGATCAGTTCCAAGCTCTGAAATGCGGTTCTGATTCCGTCGAGACATACCTCAGTCGAGCCAAAGATGTTGCTGATCGACTGGCTGCCGTCAATCGCCCCGTCTCCGATGATGATCTTGTCGACCGCTGCCTCAAGGGTCTCGGGGAGAACTTCCTCCCGTTCGTGCGTGCCATCGAAGCCAAATCCGATCCCATTTCCTTTGATGACTTCCACGGTCTTCTACTCCGGGAGGAGCAACGCTTGCAGCAGCTCAATCTCCTCCACGATGCTGTGCCCACTGCCCACTTCGGACGCGGTGGTCGTGGTAGCCGGGGTCGCCACTCCGGTCGTTTTGCTGGTCGCGGCAGGGGCGGCAAGGGTTATCCTCCCTCTTCTTATTTTGACGGCTCACCTTCTTCTATGTATGGAACAGGTACAAGTCCAGGTCTTCTTGGGCCAAGGCCCACTGCTCGCCCGGGCCCTCCTCCTCCATCCAGCGCCCTCCAGTGTTACAATTGCCGTGGGTTTGGCCATCTAGCAAAGCATTGCCCTTCTCCAGCCTCCTCCTCACGTCACCCACCCACAGCTCATTATGCCATCTCCCCTACTCCTCAAGACTGGTTACTCGATTCAGGAGCTAACTATCACCTCACGTCCGATCTCAATAACCTCGCCTTACACTCTGAACATCGTGGTCCTGATGAGGTTTCTTTCGGCAACGGTAACTCTCTTCCTATAACTCATGCTGGTTCCTCCATTGCTTCTCTTCGAGATCATTCTTTTCGCCTATCTAATATTCTTCATGTCCCGTCTGCCACTCAAAATCTCCTGTCTATTAATGCTCTTACTCGTACTAATCCATTGTCTATCCATTTTTTCAGTGATTCTTTTGTCATCAAGGACACGCAATCCCAGAAAATTCTGCATCGCGGACGGAGTAATGATGGACTCTACTCAATTCCATTGTCCATTCTCTCTTCGGTCGCTCCCCGTGCTCTTCACACCACCGTCTCTCAATGGCATCAACGTCTCGGACATCCCCACTCTCGCGTACTTCATCATATTCTTCGTTCTAATTCTCTTTCTGTTTCCAATAAAAGTGATCAAAGTCTCTGTCACGGCTGTAGTGTTGCTAAGATTCACAAACTGCCATTTCCTGTTTCTCATTTTCATGCTCAAGGACCCTTGGATTTAATATGTAGTGATGTGTGGGGTCCTGCCCCTGAACTGTCATTCGATGGTAATCTTTACTATATACTATTCTATGATCATTTCAGCAAATTCACTTGGATTTTCCCCACCAAATATCGTTCCAATCTTCTTGACATTTTTATTCGGTTTCGTACCCATGTGGAAAAGTTTTTTGGCCGCCCTATAAAAATGGTTCAGGCAGACTGGGGCGGTGAGTATCAAAAGCTCAACTCCTACCTCCAACAACATGGCATTCTTCATCGTTCCTTATGTCCCTACACCCCCGAGCAAAACGGTTGTGCTGAACGCAAACACCGTCACATTGTTGAAACCGGCTTGGCTCTCCTTCACCAAGCCTCTGTTCCCATCAAATTTTGGCCCTATGCTTTTGACACTGCTGTCTATCTCATTAATCGCCTACCCACCCCCTCCTCGATTCCTGCACCCCACTTGAAGCTCTCTACACCGAAAAACCCGACTACTCCGTTCTTCGCATTTTTGGCTCTCTCTGCTACCCTTGGTTGCGCCCTCTTACCCGTCATAAACTCCAACCTCGATCCTCTCCATGTGTCTTCCTTGGTTATAGTCCTATGCATAAGGGTTACCGTTGCTACAACCTATCCACCCGTAAAATTCACATTTCCCGTCACGTTTTATTAGACGAGAGTTGTTTTCCATTTCAGGATCCTAAATTCACCAATTTCCTATCTCCCAACCCTCCATCATCCCCCACCACGCCGCACATCAGCCCACTCCCACTTCCCCCAGCATTTATACATCTTGGCCCATCACCCACTCCTCCCGGCCCACTCCGCTACACCACACTATCCACCACACCCTCATTCCCACAACTACACTTGCAGCCCATCCCACCCCCCACTAGTACGACCACTTCTCATCCCCCGCCCACCAACACATCTCGGCCCCTCCCCACCACCATCCCCTTCCCACCGCCGCCAACTCTTCCCCGCTCCTCCCGCCAGCGTCGCCCACCTCCCCCCACCACCCTCCCTCGCTTCCACACCTCTCCGAGAATCATCCCTTCTCCTCCTTCCCTCGCTCCAAACCGGCCACCTCAAACCCAAAACCTTAAACGCCCAAATTTCCACCTCCCTACCCTTCATTCCTAAAACGCCGCTACAAGCCTTGCGTCATCCCCTATGGCGGGCAGCTATGATGGAGGAGTATCATGCCCTTCTCAAGAATCAGACCTGGACTCTCGTACCTCGTTCTCCAACTCAGAATGTCATCTCCAACAAGTGGCTCTTTCGAATCAAAACAAAATCCGACGGCGCCATTGACCGGTACAAAGCCCGCCTTGTTGCTCGTGGTTTTCAACAACGCCCTGGCCTCGACTTTGGGGACACATTCAGCCCAGTCCTGAAACCCACCACCATGCGGTTGATTCTCTCCATTGCCGTCTCCAACAATTGGCAAATTCGTCAATTGGACATTGCCAATGCTTTCCTCCATGGTACTTTGACAAATGATGTTTTTATGCAGCAACCAACCGGATTTGTAGATCCAGAGAAACCAGATCATGTTTGTCATCTCCAAAAATCCTTGTACGGCCTCAAATAAGCACCACGGGCATGGTTTCATTGTCTCCGGCGTGCTTTGGAAGCCTATGGATTTCGTGGTTCCAAGACGGATACCTCTCTCTTCATCCTATGTCGCGGCAGCCTCCGCCTTTATGTTCTAATATATGTTGACGACATCCTTCTCACAGGTAACCAGCCCACGGCTCTGCAGGACCTTCTTCTGTACTTGCAGACTCACTTTGCAGTTCGGGATCTCGGAAGACTCTCTTACTTCCTCGGCATCAAGGCCAACAGGACACCTCAAGGCCTGCACCTCTCTCAACGTAAATATACCAAGCAGATTCTTGACCGAGCCAAAATGACCACCGCCTAATGCTCTCGCCACTCCCGCTGCCACAACACCAACTGACACGGACACCTCTCCCTTTCCTGATGGCACTCTGTACCGCCAAATTGTCGGCGCCCTACAGTATCTCCAATTCACTCGCCCTGACATTGCACAAGCTGTCAACTCTTGTGCTCAACATATGCATCACCCACTCCAACAACATTGGACTGATGTCAAACGTATCCTCAGATATCTCCGCGGCACCACAGAACATGGCCTCTTTTTCTGCAGTCACTCACCTCCTCAACTCTCAGGATACTCAGATGCTGCTTGGGCTAACAGTACTTCGGATCGTCGTTCGACAACCGGTTACGCAGTCTACTTGGGCTCTCATTTAATTTCTTGGTCTTCACGCAAGCAGCGCACTGTGGCACGTTCATCCACCGAAGCATAATATAAGGCGCTAGCCACTCTTGCGGCTGAAATCATCTGGCTCCAATCTCTACTCACTGAGATTGGTTTCACACTTCCTACCCCACCGAAGCTCTAGTGTGACAACCTCGGCGCCACTTATCTCACCGCTAATCCTGTCTTTCATGCCTGCAGCAAACACATGGAAATCGACTTCCATTTTGTAACATCCCGTTCCGGCAAAACCCATATTTCGATCGCTAGAAAGTTCGCGATTTAAAATCGAGCATTTCGACACTATTTCGGCGAAATTCGGATTATCGATCGATCGGATAAGTATACGTATTAATTATATATATATATATATATATATATATATATATATATAATTAATTAATTAATGCCGGCCGCATATATATATAAACCCTTCCCGTCCCTTTTAATTCTCATCATCATCGTTTATTTCCTTTTTCCACCGAGAGAAGAAAAACCAGAGCGAGAGGAGCAGAGCGAACAGGGGAACGTCGGGGAGAATTTCCAAAGCTCAATTCTTGAGCTACACTGATCCAAAAATCCCGTAAGTTATGCCTAATCCACCCATACATCGTGATGTATCGATTTAGAGCTTTAAAACGAGTTTTTGGTTCAGGAATTTCTTGAATTCCCGATAAGCCAAATTAGGGTTTCGGAGTATCCGGAAGCCGGATTGAGCCCAAATTTCATATACGAGCTTCCTGCAGCGAGGTAATCAATCCTCTAGTTCTAATCCCTGAATTTCGGCTATTATTTAGGCCGGGGTCCAAACCGCTGAATTTAGCTCCGGCCAGGGTTTGATGTATTTTTATCAAGAATTTGACCCGGAGCCTATAACGAATATTGACGGCGATACTGCAGGGGATATTAGGGCGGTCTCGGATTTTAATTCGGGGTTCGTTCGTGAAATTGACGTTTTAGTACGGGAAGGTTAAACCGGTGTTTGAACGACCAGAACTGGTGAGGGATTAGCACGGCATACCGGGTTTGTCGTATTACGATAATTATATTGATGCTTAGAATTGATCTAGGTGAACTAGAATGGCATGATTAGGGGTGTATGGACTTTTGTGCTATATGATGAACCCTGGACTGCTATATGATATTATTGACTTGCCCTAATCGATATGGACCTGGCTTATGCTGATGATTGTGTATATGTTGCAAATTGTGGGCTTAACTGTTGATATGCCTTATGATGGTTCGAAAAGGTGATAGGGTATGATTGTTCATGATTGTTGTATTTGGATGCACATGTGGGAAAATATATATTCTCTGGTGATATTATGATGTTTAAGGAGGATGACTTGCACGAGGGTTTATCCCGAGGAAGTGCAATTATACGACTCCTGATTTACCTATGTTGAGCCAATTGTGGCCGGGTCAAGAACATGTCCAAGTAACGAATTATGATTAAGCAAGATGAGATATGGATCATGTATAAGGATACCAAGTAAGAGTACTTTGGTCTCATGGTCAATTACTTAGTAATTAGGGCTCCCCATGCTATTACTCCGTTATGATATGTTATGTCACACCCCTGATGTGGTGTTGACCGTTGATTCATCATGAGATATGACCACACCCAGAGTGGTGTTGAGTCCGATATGACCACACCCATCGTGGTGTCAGGTCCGATATGACTACACCGACAGTGGTGGGTCCGATATGACCACATCCACGAGATGTTTGGTCCGTATTCCCGGGAGAGTAAGTAGCATGGGAGTAGCCAGGCGCCTATAAGTAAAACATGATAAGATGCATATGCATAAGTCAAGGTGGTTGAGTCTTTTGCCTATTGGGATGTCGGATGGCTGAGGTCTGATCCTAGTGCTTTGGCTTGTTTGCTAGATGTATGGTAGGGGTATGCTCTGTTATGAACTCACTATGCTATGATTATCTCACTCAGCTATGAGCTGACCCTCCTTTATTCTTTTCTCTGCTTATGCCATGTGTAAGCAGATCATCACCAGCAGCAGCAGTAGATAGGTGTATAGGTGGGAGTTGAGCAAGAGTTGAAGGCAAGATGAGGTATGGTCTTCAACTATTCTGTGCTTGGACTACTACTCGGGATTTTGGCCAGTGATCCACACCTTTTTGTAAAAAATGTTTTGAGAACGTTTTTCATGTGCATACTAGCTTCTGATGTAGTGTGAGATATCCACAGGTGTGGAAAGTTGATAATATGTGTATATGTTGTGTAACTGTGTAAGTTGCGACGATTATGGTATGTACAAGTATGGAATGCAGTTGTGGAGTATGAAAAGGGTAGCTATGGCTATGAAAGCCAATGCATATGGAAGTGAGTGTATATGTTTGTCTATGAATGCATGGATTTAGATGAATTATTTTGCAGGATCAGATGGAAGAACTGTTAGCCCATTACGCGAGTAATTCATGTCGAAATTTTATTTGGGTAAATTTTGATAATTAATGTAACACCCGAGATTAATTCCGCTGCAATTGTATGAACAATATGATTAGGCAAAACGTATAGGGTAGGGTGTTACAGTTTGGTATCAGAGCCCGGTTCCCTCTTTTTGTTGTTATGGCGTACTATACCCTATGGGAGGTTAAACACTCCTAAGGAGGGGAGTACCCCATAATGACTTAAACTGGGAATTGAGTTTGACATGATTATGTGTATTTGTATGTTGGATGAAATTACCTGCATCATGGTTTTCAAAAATTGAGTTTTGAACTTATTTGTTTTCAAGTAATTATTTTGGGAAAATTTTGTTTTAACCAAGTGAGAGATTTGGTGAAGAATGAATTTTGTGTGGATCAATCTAAGGCCAATATTTCCTTGTAGCTCGCACGGAAGTTGTCATAATGTTCCTACTGACCAGTCGAGAGGAGTGGGGGCGGTTGATGCAAGACCGCCAGTATTAGATTATGCAAAGATGAAGAGTTTGGGTGGTAGGGACTTTAAAGGAGATGTGAGTCCGGATGCTGTGGTAGAGTGGTTGAGGGAGATGGAAGATGTGTTTGAGTATCTTTATGCGACCCCAGAGGAAAAAGTACAATATGTTGTTTTTCTCCTAAAGGGGTACGCGAGGAGCTGGTGGTCCTCAGTCTCTAGAGTTAATGGTGAACGAGTTCAGTTCACCTGGGAGGAATTCCTGAAGGCCTTTAAGACAGAGTTTCTTCCCGAAGCTTTTATCAGGGCAAAGAATAATGAATTCGCCAACCTTAAGCAGGAGAACATGACGGTTACTGAGTACACCATCAAGTTTGTTCGACTACTCTACTTTGAAGATGGGTTGGCGGATACTGAGCATAAGAAGAAGATGAGATACTTGCATGGTCTGCGCCTAGGATTGAAAGAAAAGATCCACAGGGTTGATGAAGAGAGCATGGCCACTATCAAGGAGGCAGCACTTAAGTATGAAGCCTATGAAGTTGAGGGTAGAGAGGAAAACAAGGCCAAAGAAGAGGAGAAGAAGAGGAAGTTTGGAGTAAATTATGCTGGACCTCGTTACCCACCCAGGAGAGGTCCTAGCAGTTTTGGGAGAACACCGAGTCAATCTATGTCGGGAACATCATACAAGGCACCAGTTTCCTCTGCCACACAAGCTCCAGTTTGTCAAGTTTGTCAGAAGAGACACTTTGGGGAGTGTTGGAGGTTTTCTGGAGTATGTTTTCAATGTGGCCAGCCGGGTCACATCATGAGGAACTGTCCTTATAGGGGAGGAGGAAGACCTACTCAGTCCGAACCTTCAGTTCACTTTAGTAGAGCCCCAGCCAGAGGTGGTTACCAGGGAGGCCGTAGTGGATTTCAGAGTGATCGTGGTGGTTCACAGGGTGGTAGAGGTGGTGATCGAAATCAGCCATCAGGAAGTGGTACGCAGGGTACCAGAGCACAGGGAGCACCGAGGGTTTATGCAATGACTCGAGGTGAGGCAGAAGTGGCACCAGAAGTTGTGACTGGTATGCTTTCTATCCTTGGCAAGCAATTATATGCTTTGATCGATACTGGTTCCTCTCACTCATTCATGTCATATACGTTTGCACATATGCTACGTTTAGTTCCAGATAAGCTAGGTTATACCTTATGTGTTAAAACACCTGTGGGAGATACCTTGAAGGTAGACTCAGTTATTAGAAGTTCCTTCATTTGTGTGGAAGGAGCTTTCCTGGCAGCAGATTTAATTCTGCTACCTTTTGATGAATTCGATGTCATCCTTGGGATGGACTTTCTGGCAACACATGGAGCTGTTGTGGATTGTCAAAAGAAAGAAGTGTTATTCAACACACCAGATAAAGGTCCTGTTGTATTCCGAGGCATTAAGAAAAAGGAGAATCATGGTTTTCTTTCTGCCTTGGAAGCTTTTCGATTAATGAAGGAAGGTTGTGAAGCCTTTCTTGCTCAAGTTACTGTTGTAAATGATAAGAAGGTTGAGGATGTAGAGGTGGTAAGGGAGTTTCCTGATGTATTCCCCGAAGAACTTCCTGGCCTTCCACCAGAAAGAGAAGTGGAGTTTGATATTGAATTGGTACCTGGCACAACACCAATTTCAATGGCACCATATAGAATGGCACCAATTGAGCTGAAGGAGCTTAAAGAACAATTGCAAGAATTGCTAGACAAGGGGTTTATTCGACCTAGCATCTCACCTTGGGGTGCACCGGTTTTGTTTGTCAAGAAGAAAGATGGCTCCATGAGAATGTGCATTGACTACCGGAGGTTGAATAAAGCAACAGTGAAGAATCGTTATCCCCTCCCAAGAATAGACGACTTGTTTGATCAATTGCAGGGTGCATCAGTCTTTTCTAAGATTGATTTGAGGTCCGGGTACCATCAACTGAAAGTGGCCGATGGAGCGACCTCAAAGACAGCATTTAGAACAAGATATGGGCATTATGAGTTCCTGGTAATGCCTTTTGGGCTCACTAATGCACCAGCAGTATTTATGGCTCTTATGAACAGAGTTTTTCATGAATATCTTGATAAGTTTGTGATTGTGTTCATAGACGATATTCTCATCTATTCTAAAAGCGAAGAGGAGCACAAAACTCACCTTAGAATTGTGTTGCAAATTCTAAGAGAGAAACAATTATATGCAAAATTCTCCAAATGTGAGTTTTGGCTGAAGGAGGTAATATTTCTGGGACATGTAATTTCTGGAAGAGGAGTGGAGGTGGATCCAAAAAAAGTGGAAGCAGTGGTGAGTTGGGCTCCACCAAAAGATGTGTCTGAGTTGAGAAGTTTTCTTGGCATGGCGGGTTACTATCGGCGGTTTGTAGAAGGATTTTCCAAAATTGCTGCACCATCGACTAAACTGTTGAGGAAGAATACCAAGTATGTTTGGGATGAATCATGTCAAAAGAGTTTTGATGAACTAAAGAATAGATTGACCACAGCACCAGTACTTGCACTACCTTCGAATCAGGGAGAGTTTGTGGTGTATAGTGATGCCTCGTATCAAGGATTGGGCTGTGTGTTAATGCAAGATGGAAGAGTTATTGCATATGCCTCTAGGCAATTGCGTCCTCATGAAGTAAATTATCCCACTCATGATTTGGAGTTGGCAGCGGTGGTATTTGCTCTCAAGATATGGCGACATTATTTATACGGTGAGACTTTTAAAATCCTCACTGATCATAAAAGCCTGAAGTATATTATGGATCAGAAGGATTTAAATAGTCGCCAGAGGAGATGGATTGAACTTCTAAAAGATTATGATTGTACCATTGATTACCATCCAGGTAAAGCTAATGTAGTTGCTGATGCTCTGAGCAGAAAAGGCAAGAAGAATATAACGGATCTGGTTGATTTGAGGGCAATGAATGTTGATTTGGAAGTGGATGGTGTAACAGGGTTACTAGCTCGGTTGAATATCCGACCTTTGTTGCATGACAAAATTCGTGAGAAGCAGAAGGAGGACCCAGAGTTGGTAAAAATCATTCAAGACATTGAGGAAGGAAAGGAAAGCCCATTTGAAATAGTAGATGGCATGTTGAAGATGAATGGAAGAGCATGTGTTCCTAATGTTGATAACTTGAGGAAAGAGATCCTAGATGAAGCTCATTCTTCTGCTTATGCTATGCACCCAGGAGCAACTAAAATGTATCACACAATCAAACCATATTTTTGGTGGCGTGGGATGAAAAAGGAAGCGGCTGAACATGTTTTCACATGTCTGGTATGCCAGAAAGTTAAGGCAGAACATCAAGCTCCTGTAGGGAAACTACAACCCCTTCCAATTCCAGAATGGAAGTGGGAAAGAATCACAATGGATTTTGTATATGGTCTCCCATCATCAAGGGGAAAAGATGCAGTATGGGTTATTGTGGACCGACTGACCAAATCGGCTCACTTTTTACCCATTAGATGGAAACCATCACTGGAGACTTTGTCTCAACTATATATTAAGGAGATCGTCAGATTGCATGGTGTGCCAATTTCTATTGTCTCTGATCGAGACCCGAGCTTCACATCTCGGTTTTGGCAAAGTTTACATGATGCCTTGGGAACTAAACTGCATTTCACTTCAGCTTATCATCCTCAAACAGATGGGCAGAGTGAACGAACCATCCTAACTTTGGAGGAATTACTTCGATCATGTGTAATGCAATGGGAGGAATCATGGATTGACCATTTGCCCTTAATTGAGTTTGCTTACAACAACCAGTACCATAGTAGCTTGGGGGTTCCACCATATGAAGCACTTTATGGGAGGAAGTGTAGAACACCATTATGTTGGGATGTAGAAGGAGCAAGGCAAATCTCAGGGCCAGAAATAGTTCAGATCACAGTTGATAAAGTCAAGGAAATCAAGGAGCGTTTGAGGGTGGCTCAAGATCGACAGAAAGTTTATGTTGACACGAGTAGGCGTGAAGTTAATTTCGAAGTGGGTGAGAAAGTATTTCTCAAAGTGTCACCCTGGAAAGGCGTAATGAGATTTGGTAAGAAAGGGAAACTTGCACCTCGGTATATTGGACCCTATGAAATCACAGAGAAGATTGGACCAGTGGCATATAAACTAGCATTGCCTCCAGAGCTATCCCAAATCCACAATGTATTTCATGTTAGTATGCTGAAGAGGTACAAAGTGGATCCTTCCCATGTTATACAACCAGAGGAGATCGAATTGGGTCCAGATTTGACATTTGAAGAGGTTCCAGTTGAGATTGTTGATTATCAGATTAAGACTCTTCGTAGGAAGGAAATTCCAATGTTGAAAGTGGTGTGGAGAAATCAAGATAGTGAGAGTGCTACATGGGAAACTGAAGCAAGTATGCGAGAGAAGTACCCTGAGTTGGTAGCAAACTACTTTGCAGGTTAACAATCTTTCTTAATAAGTTATGTTTTGAACTTGTTGATGTGTTTTGTTGTGATAGCCCAGTGTAGGTTTTTGAAACCTTATATTGGGAACTTGAGGTGCTATGTGTTTAGTTATGTACTTCAGATCTCCTAACCTAAGAGTTAGGTAGTAACAATATATGTGATAGTCTGCCAGGAGGAGAACGAGCGGATGCGTAGTATCAACTCAAGATTAGATTTCGGGGACGAAATCTTTTTAAGGAGGGGAGAATTGTAACATCCCGTTCCGGCAAAACCCATATTTCGATCGCTAGAAAGTTCGCGATTTAAAATCGAGCATTTCGACACTATTTCGGCGAAATTCGGATTATCGATCGATCGGATAAGTATACGTATTAATTATATATATATATATATATATATAATTAATTAATTAATGCCGGCCGCATATATATATAAACCCTTCCCGTCCCTTTTAATTCTCATCATCATCGTTTATTTCCTTTTTCCACCGAGAGAAGAAAAACCAGAGCGAGAGGAGCAGAGCGAACAGGGGAACGTCGGGGAGAATTTCCAAAGCTCAATTCTTGAGCTACACTGATCCAAAAATCCCGTAAGTTATGCCTAATCCACCCATACATCGTGATGTATCGATTTAGAGCTTTAAAACGAGTTTTTGGTTCAGGAATTTCTTGAATTCCCGATAAGCCAAATTAGGGTTTCGGAGTATCCGGAAGCCGGATTGAGCCCAAATTTCATATACGAGCTTCCTGCAGCGAGGTAATCAATCCTCTAGTTCTAATCCCTGAATTTCGGCTATTATTTAGGCCGGGGTCCAAACCGCTGAATTTAGCTCCGGCCAGGGTTTGATGTATTTTTATCAAGAATTTGACCCGGAGCCTATAACGAATATTGACGGCGATACTGCAGGGGATATTAGGGCGGTCTCGGATTTTAATTCGGGGTTCGTTCGTGAAATTGACGTTTTAGTACGGGAAGGTTAAACCGGTGTTTGAACGACCAGAACTGGTGAGGGATTAGCACGGCATACCGGGTTTGTCGTATTACGATAATTATATTGATGCTTAGAATTGATCTAGGTGAACTAGAATGGCATGATTAGGGGTGTATGGACTTTTGTGCTATATGATGAACCCTGGACTGCTATATGATATTATTGACTTGCCCTAATCGATATGGACCTGGCTTATGCTGATGATTGTGTATATGTTGCAAATTGTGGGCTTAACTGTTGATATGCCTTATGATGGTTCGAAAAGGTGATAGGGTATGATTGTTCATGATTGTTGTATTTGGATGCACATGTGGGAAAATATATATTCTCTGGTGATATTATGATGTTTAAGGAGGATGACTTGCACGAGGGTTTATCCCGAGGAAGTGCAATTATACGACTCCTGATTTACCTATGTTGAGCCAATTGTGGCCGGGTCAAGAACATGTCCAAGTAACGAATTATGATTAAGCAAGATGAGATATGGATCATGTATAAGGATACCAAGTAAGAGTACTTTGGTCTCATGGTCAATTACTTAGTAATTAGGGCTCCCCATGCTATTACTCCGTTATGATATGTTATGTCACACCCCTGATGTGGTGTTGACCGTTGATTCATCATGAGATATGACCACACCCAGAGTGGTGTTGAGTCCGATATGACCACACCCATCGTGGTGTCAGGTCCGATATGACTACACCGACAGTGGTGGGTCCGATATGACCACATCCACGAGATGTTTGGTCCGTATTCCCGGGAGAGTAAGTAGCATGGGAGTAGCCAGGCGCCTATAAGTAAAACATGATAAGATGCATATGCATAAGTCAAGGTGGTTGAGTCTTTTGCCTATTGGGATGTCGGATGGCTGAGGTCTGATCCTAGTGCTTTGGCTTGTTTGCTAGATGTATGGTAGGGGTATGCTCTGTTATGAACTCACTATGCTATGATTATCTCACTCAGCTATGAGCTGACCCTCCTTTATTCTTTTCTCTGCTTATGCCATGTGTAAGCAGATCATCACCAGCAGCAGCAGTAGATAGGTGTATAGGTGGGAGTTGAGCAAGAGTTGAAGGCAAGATGAGGTATGGTCTTCAACTATTCTGTGCTTGGACTACTACTCGGGATTTTGGCCAGTGATCCACACCTTTTTGTAAAAAATGTTTTGAGAACGTTTTTCATGTGCATACTAGCTTCTGATGTAGTGTGAGATATCCACAGGTGTGGAAAGTTGATAATATGTGTATATGTTGTGTAACTGTGTAAGTTGCGACGATTATGGTATGTACAAGTATGGAATGCAGTTGTGGAGTATGAAAAGGGTAGCTATGGCTATGAAAGCCAATGCATATGGAAGTGAGTGTATATGTTTGTCTATGAATGCATGGATTTAGATGAATTATTTTGCAGGATCAGATGGAAGAACTGTTAGCCCATTACGCGAGTAATTCATGTCGAAATTTTATTTGGGTAAATTTTGATAATTAATGTAACACCCGAGATTAATTCCGCTGCAATTGTATGAACAATATGATTAGGCAAAACGTATAGGGTAGGGTGTTACACATTTTGTCCGGGAACGTGTAGCTGCCAAACAACTCCTAGTTCGCTACATATCCACCGACGACCAGATTGCAGATCTTCTCACCAAGCCTCTTCCTCGACTACGTTTCCAGCATTTTCGTAACAAGTTGAAAGTCACTGCCCTTCAACTTGCGGGGGCGTGATAAGGATGACCGAGTCATCAGTGGGTTGTTATTGTTTGTTATTCTGTTCCTTCCCACAAGCACCTGTTTCCGTATTTGTCTCCACATGTATCACACGTTCACATCATGTATGCCATCAGTAGTGTATAAAATCATCTCACAACAGCAATGAAATCATGAGAGAATTTTACCAATCTTCACTATTGTTCCTGCTGCTCGCACTGCTCCTTCACCTGCGAAATCTCAGTCGACACTCACTCCTTTACCCTGAGAGCACTTCTTCGCTCACTCCTTCTGCCGATGAGCGCACGATTGCAAGAAGAGGAAGTGAAATCGTGAGAAGCGGTGGCGGTGACATACGTCTGAAGCGGAGGCCGCGAGTTAGAACCATTGGTTTCAATTGTCGAGAACTTCTGTCAGTTGTGCTAGACGCCAAGATCTAGGTTTTAATTGCCTCTTCGGTGTTCAAATCAAGCAAAGCACTGGTGGAAGCTTGACGCGGCGAGGATGCTTGAGCGAGGAAATCACCCTACATCCTAAAAAGGCTAATCCAAAAGCAGTCCTATCTCTAGCTCTCCCTTCCCTGCGAGTGCTGATGGGAGGCAGTGTGGTTGGCAGGCGGAGCGACGAGAAGGCTATTGACACGCGGGAGGCGGTTGGTAGGCGGAGTGACACGAGGGTTGGAGATGGAGGCGGAACCCGACGAAGACAGACTGCGACGGAGGTACTCTGGTCTAGCAACGACCGACGACACAGGGCTGGAAGCATAGCTGGTCGGAGAATTACGGCGACGGTGATGTAGTGGTCTGAATGGGATCTGAGTAACTTGGCTATAGATTTATAATTCATTATCGGATGGTACTTAGAGGCCATTCTTCTCACTTCAATTAGTTATTATAACTATTTTATTATTTTAATTTATTGTAAAAATGAGGTGGAAATTGTAAATGATTATATTTTATTATTTTTAAGTGCCACGTCATTTATTTAACGGTCAATTATGAAAGTTGACTGCCACATAAGCAATAGTTAACGGAATTGGACGGAGAGTGACCAAATTTGAACTATTTATCTAATTTTAGTGACCACGAATGGAATTAAATATTTTTAGTGACCAAACATGAACGTTTTTGGTAATCTCAGTGACCAACCTTGTAATTAACCCTTAACATATCTATCTTGTTAAAAATTGTGCCCAAGCAACGCCAATGGCTAGTTCTTTTGTGCGTTTTCGCCACATGTAACCAATATCTCTAAATTTATACATGTGAACTCTTAAATGGAAACATAAAATATTTTGGTGATTGTTTTCCGGCGAGAATTTTAGGTGTAAACAGTGACCAAAAAGCGTAGAAACAATTTGGTATTCTAAAATAATAAAAGTGTAACCTTTAAAGTAAGATTTTGTCTAAATTTATAAATGTACAACATTTGTATGAAAACTTAAAGCATTTTAACGATCTAAAAGCGTAAAATCGCGTAAACTTTTGAAATTTAAAGCACAAGATTTTAACTACACGGCATATAACTGTTGCTCCATGAAACTCCAAATAGTAGGGGATGTATAAAGTATAAGGGTAATGTCTATTTATTTACCAAATTTTATTCAGATGATTTTATATTATCCAAACCTATTAAAATGTTATTAATTAGTCAAATCTTTCGCAATGCATCAAAATATTAGTCATTTTTACGTTATCGTTAATCATTTTGTAACTATTTTCTTAGTTGAAATACTAAAATTTTGGAATGTTGACCTTCATATGTATCTTCCAACTCACTATCATTTTGCCAAGTCAATACTACTAACAAAATTGCTAACAGTAAGTTAACATTTAATTAATTCTTAGTATTTCAATAGATTTGTCTAATAATAATAAAAAATTCAAAAATATTTCACTAATAGAAAGAATTGAAATGAGTTGCGGGAAATAAAAAGAAGAAAAAAGACTTAAAAGAAGAAAAAAGAAAAAGGCCAACCAGGCCCAACATCTAGAAGCTTGTCGGTCCAAAGGTACGGCCCAAATTCCATGCGATTGCTGAAGCCCTTTTTTCCGTGGAATTAGAGTTTTTCCTAGTTAGTCTCGCATTCGGACATGGCGCAGGCTATTTAAAGGGAGGGAGGGCCGGTGATGATGGTCTCTCTCGTCGGTTAATCACAGCAGCCGTGATTTGAATTTGATTTGGTTTGGTGAGAATTAGGCGAGACTATGGCGAGCCCTAGAAGAGAAATTACAGTTGAGGAGGAGGGCCAGGTCAGGGAAGCGAGCCCTAGAAGAGAAATTCCAGATGAGGAGACGGAGTTTATTCCAAAACTGGTGTTTATTCCCAAGCTGGAGACGGAGTTTGATCCAGAGGTCAGCGCATTAGTGGTAAAAGGTTTAAGCTATAGGCGGGCAGTGCTTCTTGACTTAATCACTCGGGGGGAGGAGCGTTATGATCCAGAAGTGGTCGCAAGATGGCTTGCCCTAGATCGCGCTGAGCGAGAGCGGGCATATGCGCTTAACAATAACAACCCATGATCAGCTGGAAAAAAGGAGGAGGAAAATTCGCTCATATGATACGTAGTACTCCTTAGTTAGTCAGTCCGTCTGCCTGCCTGTCTGTCGAACTAGAACTAGAACTAGAACATCAATAAGGGTTACTTGTTGCGTTGTTGGTTGCATTCCTGTTTTTGGTAAGAATGCCATTCTGCTTTGCTTGCTTTTTGCAGTGTTGGTTCCAACTTGTTAACATCCTTTTCTCTGGTTCAAGAAATCTATAAATGCTTGCGAAATTGCGATGCATTTCTGTGAATGAGGTGGAGTTCTCGATTAGTGCCTTGAATTGATGACTATTGTCTTCCAGGGAGGTTAAAAGTGGTTCAGGATGAGTTCCAATGTGGACGCTTTGCAAGATGCTAATGCAGCTTCAACTTCAGAACCCAAACATGTAAAGAAAAGTGGTACGAGCTTATGGCCATTTGGTTTATTGATTTGCTGTCCGTGGGGTAAGTCGTACTTTGGCTGATGTATTATCATTACAACGCTTATGAGGCTAAGAAGCTTGCTGTTGCTGCTCTCTCTGCAATTAAGGATGCTGCAGCTGCTGCTGCAATCAAGGGAAAAGTTGAGGTGGGCTTTGATCTTTGTTCCCATATTAGCTGTTTGTCTATTATATCTAACCATGAAAACTATTAAGATTTAGCTCATTTAGTTTGTCATATACACATCAAGGTCAGGTTTGCTTAATGGGAAGTTTTGTGTCCCGCTGTGTCACTGCAGTAGTTCTGAGAGAGGTATCCACGAAAATGGTTGCCAAACTTTGGGATCACTGTCAAATATGCTACTTAACTATCATCCATAACTAATTTGTCACTGAAGCTTTGAATAGCTAGCGCTTTAAACAACAGCTAGCTATCCGTCTCTGTTAAAATTTTCATCTAAACTGTTGAGATCAGTGTGTCAACTAGTCAGATTGTTAATTAAAAAATGTCATATAAACCCTTTAATTAGGGGGGTTATGTTGGTAGGCATAGGGTTGAGCAGCGACTTTATTTGGATCGGCTATGAAGTAAAATAGGTTATCCCAAGCCAGCTGTAAGGACTATATGACAAATTACTATTAATTTGGGTGAATGACCGGTTTGTGAATGATCTTGTCAATTTGAGCAATTGTAATGGAAATGAACAAAGTGATTGTTATGTTAGCTATTTCAAACTTCAGTTTCTGAAAAATGAAAGCTGAATGACCGGTTTGTGAATGACCTGAAAGTTCAGCAACATTTATATAACCAATCCAAAGAGGTGTATAACTTGTAGCCGTGACTTCCGAACACGGCAAGTTTGGCTAACAACTTACAGAACGGAATTTGACTTCTGCAGACTTGTATGCTTTGTAGACTGAGCACTTCAGGCGGAATGGTGTAACTCTCTTCGTGAACACAGACTTGTACGCTATGCAGCCGTAGAAAGGATGATCTTCTATTCATAAGCAAACCACAGTTCAGCCACAGAGCCTCCAGAAAAGCAAAACTCATCTTTGCCCCCTTAGCATGATGGAAGCCATGTAGTAGGCTACAACACCAATCAACAACATCAAGCCATGGTAGTAACTCTCATTTCACTGGAGCAGTAGGTTTTCAGATGATTGATGCATTCACTGAGTCGCAAGAACTTCCAATGAACTCAGTACAATGCAAAGCTTTGTTTGGAGAAGGTTTGATTCACGCCTCCCTTTTTGAGCCAGAAACATTGAGAGGATGCTTGTTGGGTTCAAGTTCATGGAGTTGCACTGTTGTCCGCATGTTACGTTGGGGATACACCTGTTCTCCTTGCAAAGCCTCAAACTTATATGAACCTGAGTGGTGAATCTGTAAGTGGCTTGTTGTATGTGCTGACGCTACAGTCTCTATAGATGAACTTTTTCTTATTTCTGTTTTATCAACTCTAGAACCAGCTGATTTATGCTTGGGTTCCATCTTAATCAATATTAGATGAAATGAAAATCCTAATTAATGTCTTGTCAATTGCAGGTTGGACCTCTTGCAGCTTATTACAAACTACTTCATAGCAAAGTTATCATGGTATTGTTTATCTCCACTTTTCGTGTTGACACCCCTCTTTTGTTCCATAGTGTATGAGGAACTTGATGTGAGTATATTTGCAGGTATATGATGACATGGACTTGCCTTGAGGAGTGCTTCGACTTCAACCAAAGTGAGGCCATTTTAGCCACAACGGGTATGTACATCAGTATGCTACTGTTGTGCTTAGTTATGGGAGAGCTATGGTTAACTAGATTTCTATAAATATTACTTGTTGGTTATTTATGTTTTCCCTCCATTCTCTGTCTCATTGTTTGTGCTTGATTTTTATCCATTCCCTTTCGTAGTAGTTTGAAGAGTGTGATCTATATACTTTCGAGGGAACAGAGAATTTGCTCGGCTCAGAATTGGTTAGCGTGAATATATTCACTTAATACCTTGCTTCTTTTGATGCTCTCTAAATTTGTGATGCGTGAATGTCTCTCTGTCCCCAGGAATTGGAAGACCCCCTGGCCAAATGGACCCAAAGACTTTCTTGCTAAAGAGGTTCAATGCCACTGCTGAAGGGCGAGTAAGTATGCCAGTAAGAAGCTGAATCTTCTCCTCTTTTTTGCTATTAGATTCGCCTAGCTTCCTAGAAACTATTCTTGGAGTAGAAGATTTGAGCAATTAGTTGTGGTGGTTTGGTTGGATCCTGAATGGTGTAACTCTCTTCGTGATCACAGACTTGTACGCTTTGCAGCCATAGAAAGGATGATCTTATATTCATAAGCAAACCACAGTTCTGCCACAGAGCCTCCAGAAAAGCAAAACTTATATTTGCCCCCTTAGCATGATGGAAGCCATGTAGTAGGCTACAACACCAATCAACGACCTTAATCCTCGTCTTGCCCTAAAAAACTTCCCTCTGCACCCTAATCCGACCCTTAGCCAGGCTAGGCAAAGTCAAATCGTACGACCCAAGTGGTCGAGTATCCTGAGCTTTCATTATAAAGCTTTAGCACTGGTGCATCCACTCTCAGTTGGGAACAATCTAAACCATAGATGCATAGCGGTGCAAGCGAGCTCCCGTAATAGTAAAGACGCAATTTGTATATCGCAAGTCACAACCGATCAACCACAAGCTCTGTAAACTATGAAAGTTGCGGAAACGGTCCACGTTACCTCCAGAGAAGCTAGGCAATCGACAACCATCTAAGTCCAACTTGATAACGCTTTGGAAGTTGCACGGCCCAAACCCGACGGAGGTGAAACAATTGTGTCTGAGCGAGGTGGGTTAGATGGAAGCTATCGTCGAATGACTGAAAGAAGCTAGAATCAACATGTTCAAGTTCGGGTTACTCTGCAAATCTTGCGACACCGGCGATCGGAGGCAAAGGTAAGTATCCTTTGGAGCAAGACAAGGGAGAAGCGAGAGTCTCTGTATGTTTTCTAAAACTATGGTAGTAACTCTCATTTCACTAGATCAGGTAGGTTTTCAGATGATTGATGCATTCACTGAGTCGCAAGAACTTCCAATGAACTCGGTACAGTGCAAAGCTTTGTTTGGAGAAGGTTTGATTCACCCCTCCCTTTTTGAGCCAGAGGATGCTTGTTGAGTTCAAGTTCATGCAAATTGATGAGTTGCATGTGGAGTATATATCAATTACACATATTCTTGCTTCTTCCCTGTCTTGCTCCAGATGATACTTACCTTTGCCTTTGATCGTTGGTGTCGCAAGATTTGCATAGCGTTGCCCGAACTTGAACATGTTGATTCCATCTTCTTTCAGCCATTCCATGATAGTCTGCATCTAACCCATCTCGAACTCTGACACGTCTGTTTCACCTCCCTCGGGTTTGGGCTGTGCAACTTTCAAAGCGTTACCAAGTTGGACTTAGACGACTGTCGATTGCCTAGCTGGCGGTAACATCACTAACATGGACCCTTTCCTCAACTTTCCTAGTTTATAGAGTTTATGGTTGACCGGTTGTGACTTGCGAAATACATACAAATTGCGTCTTTACTGTCATGGGAGCTAGCTTGCACCAACTATGCATCTATGATTTAGATTGTTCCCAACTGAGAGTGGATGCACCGGGCTCAAGCTTTACAATGAAGCTCAGGATATCCGACCCCTTTGGTCGTATGATTTAACCGTGCCTAGCCTGGCTAAGGGCCGGATTTGGGTGCAAAGGGAAGTTTATTAGAGCAAGACTGTGGTTGAGGTCGTTGATTGGTGTTGTAGCTTACTACATGGCTTTTGTCATGCTAAGGGGGTAAATATGAGTTTTACTTTTCTAGAGGCTCTATGTCAGACCTGTGGTTTACTTATGAATAGAAGATCACCCTTTTTTCGGCTGCAAAGCGTACAAGTCTGTGATCACGAAGAGAGTTGCACCATTCTGCCTTTAGTGCTCAATTACTTTTCGATGGGGCCTGGCTGGAGGATACCCACTAAGTTTCAATTTTTAGGGCAACATATCGATTACTATACTCTATTGGTTAAGAGTTAAGTGTCTATTCTGCTTTTTCCCTTGAAGTTAGTTGAATATGAGACCGTTTCTATTACTGTTTGGTGAACTCTTGTAACCTTGAAATCTTTTATCATTTCCTCAGTGACTGACTACTGCTTTGAACATATATGGCTAGGGAAAATTTAGTCTAGCTAGGTTAAACGGAATAGAAACTTGATCTTGGATAGTTCGTTCTGTTCATATATTTCTTTATCATATTATATCTATCTGCTAATGACAATGCAACAAGTTGGAAAGTATTTCTTTCAAAAAAAAAAAAAAAAAGTTGGAAAGTATCGATTGAATATGTATCACAAAATGGCAGCCGTCTTACCTCGAATTAAGATAGACTCTAGGCAATGGCTGTGCAATTGCCAATTGTGCAAAAGGTGAAAGCTCTATATGTATAATATGTAGGGTGGTATTCGGTCGACCGGTTTACCGGTTTTCGGTATACCGAGTATGGGTAAGTGGGAATGGATTACCGATACTGGTTTGTAACCGGTTTACCGGTTACCGAATTACCGGTTTTACTGACTTACCGTAAAGAGTAGTTGCGGACGATTTTTCAGTTCGGTTTACCGGAAAATTACCGAACCGAATTTCTGGGCAATGGAGTGATGTTGTAATATTTTGATTTTTATAAGTTTTTTCTTCATTTTTGTAATTAATAAATTATTATTAACTCTAATTTATAATATTTTTGAGGTCTATACTTACTTTCATTCATGTATGTAATATTTGTGAATAATGAAGTATATGTTATTAGTCAATGCCTTAACTTGTCCGGTATTGGTATTACCGATTTAACGTCGGTATTTACCGATATTGGGGCCGATAAACCGAGCTTCCCCATTTGACCCTCGACTGCCGAAACCGCCAGTAAACGGTTTACTGTAAATCGCCGTTTATCGACTTACCGTTTGTCACCCCTAATAATATGTACCTCAACTTTCTATTTTCTCAAACATGCCCCTATATTTTGATTTACATCAAATTTATTCTTCTACTATCAAATACAACTCCTCCGTTTACTTTTTCGTCTCCTGATCAATAATCATCAAACCCGGTCCAACTGGATTCGGTCAGCATCACATCATTAAAATGGAAGGCTAAAAGACTTTATTACCCTCATATTGCTTAGCTTTCATAGCATGAAAAGTTGTACAGCATCGTCCAAATTCATAGGCCTTGCAGATTTGTCACCCAAATCCAACAAGCAAACGACCTCTCATTTTCTTTCTTATCTCATGTGTTCTTGCTTGAAGTGTCGATAGGGCTTTTGCAATTGCATAATCTGTTCATTTGATACAGTACAGGAACACCAAGAGAGGAGGTGATATGTCTCACGCTTGACGCACCAACCCAACAAAGGAGACCGCTATGGCTCTATCAAAGGAGAGAGAGTAGACGACAGTCTGTGGACGAACCGAAGGTGAAAGGCAATGCTGCAACTTCGACGTTGAATGGGAAAGAACAGGGGTCCGTCGGAATCTGTTAGTATTTTGTTAGGTTCAGTCGATTAGGATTTTGTGTCAGAGTCTATATAATGTACTTTACTTCTATCGTCAGGGGAAATCAACGAAAAACCTATCTAAGTTTCATTAGAATTATTCCTCTTTCCTGTAGACTCTTTGCAAGAACCCTAATCCCCAATCCTAAATCACTCAATTTTGCTTAATTCTCTTCTCGACCAATCTAAATTTCTTTCTGAACTCTATCTTGGTACGTTAATACAAGTGCCCAAGATCCGTACCTACAACAACAGTGTGGCCTGGGAGAGGGGATGCCACTAAGAGAATAGAGAGTGTTTTGTGAAGACATGTATCAAAGATAAAAAAAAACCGCAACATATGATATCCTTTGGTATCCCTTCTTTGTGACAAACAGAATATGTTGTGGCTGAAACAGATCCGAAACAGGGTTTTTTTAATGTACACATGCATGTGCTGTTGTTTATACGAGGACTTTGTTTGGTTCATGCATCTCTAGTTCTCTACTGCTGTGAATTGTGGAGCTGAATGTGAATCGCGAGAGAAGAATAATAAACTAGTGTTGAAATAGAAATCCAGGCGGGTAATGGGGTCACAGCTAAACTGTGTTGGATGTTAGATGGGGAAGCCACGTTTTCCTACTGCATCTTTTCTTTTTTCTAAAACGCAAGAACAAGCTTTACCTATGGTGCCTTAAATGGTGTGTTTTTCAATTTACATTTGTTGAATCGAGGTAAAACTCTAATATAAAAACTTTTTATAGTAGACTTATGTACCTATTATTGGAGCATATATAGTTGTTTGTACGATAAATAACTACATTCTATTACATATATCCTATTTTGTGTACAAATGAATCTAAAACAAAATTTCAAAACTCAACTATATTTTAAAAAAAAAATTGTTCTTTCCTCCAACCCATGAAGAATCGGTCAACAACATTCGCGGACGAATCCGTTTCCTCGATCAAACCAACCTCGTCCTGCGACCATTTCTAGATTTTTCAATCTTTTTTCGATTTGAAGGCATAGGAATGGAGCTCTAGATGATTCTGGTCTCTCGGGACGAATTAAACATGTCCCGATACTTGTCTATCACACCCGAAAATCATGTCAATGCATTCCAATTTGAAAGTCCCCCAATCTAGAAAATTTCTGTGTGAATCTTTGCACCGACTTATTCTAAAACTTTTCAAACCCCGCTTTACGATATTATCATGTTGAGAAAATATAAATAGAGCAAGTATGTACGATCATCCCAAATGAAATTACAACGACAATTGCTGCCAAATTTCCAGCTCCTCCCACTTGCATTGCCCCCCACACCATCCAGCCCCTCCTCCAGGGAACATCGCCAATAATTCATTCTTACTCCTTCGTCCCCTCCTACCGCAAAAATATTCTCCTCCCCAGACAAAGTATCATTCCATATCTCCACGATTTGATTGTGATTCCACCCCATCATCACTGCTTCCCACCCACCTCTCATTTTGACCATTTCAAAGCCAAGCTTCTCCAGTTTAATTCACGGCGATGACGAAATTCCTTTGACGGTACAGTAGCGGGAAGGGACGGAAGAATGATAAACTTTTTTTGGTAGACAAAAATTGTTATTTGTGATTAGTAGATTTGATTAAGTTGTAACAGTTTTGGACTGTTCATCCTCTGCTAGTGGAGCGACAAGAGAGAGTGGAGGATTGTAAAACTGTTGCAAACTGATTAGATGATGAACTGAAAAGGTAAGGATTGTAAAACTGTATTAGGAGGTTAATTGTGATTCAATTGTTGCATACCACTAAATGTAGCCTATTGATTAAACAGTAGATACAGTACAATTTTTTTTTTTCTCCAGAAAAGCAAATTTTCCGTGGGCCTGTGGTCGTTTTAGACTTTACCAGTCTTGACTCTTGTCCTCTCCACTTTTAAGTTTTAATATGTGCTCTTCTTTCTTTCCTCGTTGGTGTCTACTCCTCCGGTGGGCTGCTCATTTTCAGCCGTCTGGTCGGCGAGTCCAGCAGCGACGGGGAGCACGGCGCGGAGACGGTCGGCGAGGACGGAGACTGTGACGGCGAGGGAGATGACGGCACTGACATCGACATTGGGGTCGAAGATGGCGACGGCGACGGAGATGGCGAGGAGGAAGAGAGTGGGGATGATGACGTGGACGAGGCGGTAGAGAGACAGTTGCAACTCTCACAACTTTCCCGTTGCTTTCTCTTGTTGACTCGCACGCTCGGCTCGCTCGTCGCCATGTAGCCACGGAGCCGTTCGACGTCCGACGCCTTCACCGGCTTTACAATGAAATCTTCCGCGCCTTCCTCCAAACAACTGTTACCAGAACAAAAAAAAAATTTGAATTCCAGATCAATTCCTAATTCCGGTAATCGGTATAATTTGATAAAAGAAGATTTAAAATACAGAGTGATGAGAGGTGAGCGAATCAAGTACCGGTCGATTCGAGTCACGACGTTTTCCGAAGACATTATCACCACCGGGATCTCTCTTAGAGTGGACGATCCCTTGATTTTCTTGAGCAAGTCGTAGCCGGTCATCTCCGGCATGCAGTAATCGGTGATAATCAGATCCACCTTGATTTTCAAGCTCTGAGGAAACAGAATAAATAAATAAAAATTGAAATCAGGAAATTAGGGGAAAAATTGATCCACACGCCGACGAGATGAGGAATTCGAACAAAAAAAGGGGGAAATTAGCTCACATCAAAAGCGCCAATAGAGGAGGTCTTCTTCTCTTCTCCGTCCAATCCAAGGAACTGCAGAGCTCTTATTCCGCTGTCAACCGCCGTGACTGCAGAAATCAGAAGAAGGAAAAACGTTCAGAGCAAAGAAGAGAGAGAGAGAAAAGCAGGAAAGAGGGGAGATAGGATGACAGACCTTTGTAAGAAGAATTACGGAGCAGACGCTCAATGACTTTCCGATCAATAAGGCTGTCATCGACGGCTAAAACATGAACCTCCTTGGCAGCCGAATCACGAGCTGGCTGCTGGGAGGAAATCTCTCCGTCCGACCTCCAACGTTGAGAAGCGACGACGCCGTTCCTAGCCATAGCAGCGATTGCACTTTTTTTTTTCAGTAGCTGAAAGAGCAACACTTCTCGTCGGAAAACTGTGCGGCTGTAAAAAAGGCTTTTGGATTAACAGCGAGAGGAGAATGGAATATAAAGGAAAAGGAAGGAAGGAAGAGGGCGGAAATGTGAAGGTAGGTGTCTCTGTCCACTCTCTCCAAATCAAATCTTTGAGGAGGGTGTCTCTCTCTCTCTCTCTCTCTAGCAAATCTTTGAAATCTGCTCTCTCCCACCTTTCCCTCTGTCTCTGTCTCCTTCCATTGTTTGTTTTATTTTTCTCTGTATAAAACTTTTTTTTTTGTAACATTTCCAGCTCTTACTATTATACGATCGGGATTCTGAAATCCACTTTCTTGCGATCTGTTGTAATAGTATTATTATTAAATCTTTTTTCTTTTTTCTTTTTCAGCTCCCTCTCTTCTCGTGTGGCGGAATGAACAGAAAAGCCAGTAGAGTGGGAAGATGCGTGATCTTTGGGATAATAATAAGACTCATGATATCGTGTGATGATATATATATACGACTATTTCCTATCAATATTATGGAACTTTTCACAGATTTTTTTTGAACAAGATAAAATCCGAAGGAACAAAATAAGTCAACAAAATACATTTGTACCATTTGATAATATTTTTGTTTGATTTTTTTCTTTATTTTAGTGGCTGGTAGACTAATAGTTTCGGGATTGTTTCTTGCTAGATTTGAAAAATGAGGATGGTTAAAATCAATGTTTTGAAAAATCAAGAATTTATGATGCATTTTTTCCGTTATGAATCTCAAAAGTTTGTTGTTTGCTTGTTGGATTTTAAAGGTATGGATTTATCAGTTTAAAGTTAGGAATTTATCAGGTTAAAGGTAATTGACCTTACTATCTGTACTTAATTTGTTATATTATATATATGGTGACAAAACAACTTGGATCGTTTCATATACTAAAACTAGTGTGTAATTCACAATTTATTTAGTCATCTAGACTAAAGATTGAATATAGAACTCCATAGTCGCCTAACTATATAGAGTTTCTCGAAACTCAATGTATGGCAAGTGAAAAATCTGTAGCAATCACCAACCATCACATAACGAAACATTGTAATTTCAAATATCTTAATTATCAAAAGAAATCACAAACATAAACACAAAATTTTAAAACCACTATGTATGTAGAAAATAAATAAAGCACACCTCTCATAAAATAAAGAGAGTTCTTACATCATTATCACCTCAATAGAGAAACTAGTAAAACTTAATGTTCTCCCTGCTCGAAATTATTATTATCTCTCATGCATATAATCAACATAACTAGCTTCAACAACAAGGATTGAGTTACGATAATTAATAATTAGATGGAAAATAAAGCAATTGATCCTCAAGGATTTTGCCTTTTGCTCTAGCCAAGGTTTAAAGAGTGGTGTGTGTTTTACAAGTTTGCGGGACCCATGAATTTGAATCCAAAAAAAAATCCAATTTTGTGGACGCCACGAATTTGGCACCGATCAAGCAAATAAGAAACAATTTGGGGATTTTAAGACAATTCAATGTTTCTTGGGATTTGAGCCACAAATCCAAGATCCAATTCCAACAAGCAAAAAACGTCTTATATGATAGAGTTGCGAAGATAAACCAAGGAGTTGTCGTCAGATTCATCTCATAGTTAGGTGATAAAACGATCTCCTTTGCTATATTGATGAACTTGTTGTGCCTGATCCATTTAAATGGTGTATAATTAATAAAAATTAAAATTTTTCATTTTGTGGTGACTCTTAAGTGGCTAATCGACATGCTATTTTTTGAATAAAATTGTTTGCTCATGAACAGGGATCATTTTGAAGGAAGTTTAGGAACGGAGTCTGAAATTTAGGTAATCAATGGGGCAGTAAAAAATTAGAATGAAATAATCTAATATTAAAAATACAGTTTATTAGGTTTTTATAAGACAATTTATTAGGATTTAATCATATATTCATTCTTTATTTTACAACTTTTTTCACTCCCAGTACATGTAATGAATTGGACCCTCATACCCCCCGAAAGCCACATTGAGCATAGTGATCAAGAAAGCGGCCAATATTTTTCACGCTTGGTGCTCGTAAGTACTCAAGGGAGTAGATGTTGATGATGATATTTCAAAATGTAAACAAACACTCCAATGTAGTGGTTTAACCCATCTAGGTTCGGCCGAGCATCCATACACAACACATTTGGAGGGAAAGTAGTATCCTTTTGTTGTGAGGAGAATGAATTGCGGCTCCCAACATCTTTGGGCTTGTTGGAAATAGGAGCAGTGTTAAACAAAGTTAGTCATGATTCGGTTTAAAAGGAAGGGGCCATATGATCATATCACCATCTGAAGAACTTGGCATCGTAGGTTGGATTGGATGTGAAATAATGTTGCATTGATGTTTGTGTGCATATTTCCTATTATAGTTCACTGATTTCATGAGTATGAATGGTAACGATGCTCATTGTCAAAGCAAGAAGCCTCTAGCGCTCATCATCTTCATTATCGCTTGATGTTCACGATAAAGTCGGCACACCAATCTGAATAATCTAGGATTTCACATTCTCATTGCCTCGTGTCAGCTTCTTTTGCCTCTCCTCGACTTATGATGCAAAGAGAGTAGTTGAGTGTGTAGAGAGAAATATGAAATTGATAGAAATGGAGAAGGTTGAATGGCGAGATGTGTAGAATTACCAAGTTCGGGTTTTATTTACTGAAAAATGAAAAATATTATTTATGCTAAAATATGATTAAAGTTGGATGAACAAATAACGACACAACTCATCCTAATTAAAGTTTAATGAATGGCTGACGGAAAAATTCACGTTGTCAACACATGTGAGCAATTTATGGTCATATAATCACTTATTATGTTTTCGTCATTGATAGACGTAAAAAAATTTGACGCTAACTAATTATTACTGTCTATACAACAAGTAAGCCAGAATTTTCTAAACTAAACGAGGAAATCAAGATTTGGCCAAAAACTCCGTCCCCTTTTTCCCTAACCCCATTGTGAGTTGTGACCATGTTATTAGTTGAAGCTGAAAAAATTCACAATTTCACCCATTTTACCCCTACCATTGTGGGCTTTGTTTAGACATGAAACCAATTTGAGAAAAAGTTATGAAAAAAAAGAGGGAAAAGAACACTGTGGTGACCTCTCCAGTCCACTGCCAAAAACCAGATATGGTCGGGGATCGAGGGGAGAAAAACTGAAAAAGCAAAAGCAGGCAAACAAAGATAAATGAGGCTGAGGAGAGCGGTAACTTGTTGACCGCTGGTCAATTGGGCGACAAAGATAAAAACTTGAAACCCCGCCGTCAGTCAGCGTCATGGGAAATGAAATGACTGCCGTTTGTTTGGTTCAACCGCCAAAAGTGTAAACACAGCAAATATGAAATTGACTTTTACAGCACTGTCACTCTCCCCGACCGGTGATTTTTTTCTTTTTTTAGTGTCTTGTGTTTTTTTTTTTTCCAATGTAAAACTAGAAAATGAAAATTAGAATGGAGAGCAGACAGCAGAATCTTTTTCTGATGCGTGTGAAAATGGTGACCGGCCACCGCTGGTTCATATGTCACACGTGCCGCCTCGTGCCCAGTTATTTCTTTCGACAAAACTATTGGGGAAAGGAAAACAGGAAAGAAATTGTTGGTAACATTTGTGACACCTCGCTCTGTGCTCAGTTATTGCTTTTGTTTGGGAATAACTGATTTTAATTTTTCGCGCAATAATAATAAGGAAATGAATATTGAGCAGTGATTTCAGAAAATATTAAATACAATTACGTACAGCGGATCGGATCACCCATTTTATTTGACGGATCCGTCTGTGATTTTTTCCTGCACGTCTGTGTTTCTCGCTTTGGTTGATAAACGTCATGGCAAACGGTTCCGTACATAACCAAATGTAAGCGTATATCTATATGATTACAAATTCAGAATTGTACCCTTAGATTAAGGGAGATTGGGGTCAATTCGTCTTTTTTAAATCTCTTTCATCAATTTTGAATTGTTCCAGTTTCTTTCGATTCAATTTGGATTCCACTTTTGTTCTTACCAAAAATTCATTTTCATTTTTCCCACGAAAAAATTTAGATTAATTAATTAGTTACAACATGACATCCAATCTAAATATATTTTTGCAACAATAACTTTAAAGGTCATTGTATGATGTACTTACTACAATAGTTCATAGGTTCCTATACCGTAAGCAATTTGAAGTGGGATTGGTGTTTGTCCCTTTGATGGTAAAAGTCATCCTAAAACTGTACTTAATAAAAGGTCACTACAAATGAAATCATAATTCGAAATGACTTACACTCAAACCTCTATAAATTAATAATCTAGTATAAATTAATTATTTTTCCGATCCCGACTTGAATCAGCATAAAAGTGAGCAAATTTAATAAGATAATAAGATAATAATTTTTTAGAATCAATTTACACACATTAATTATGTAAATTAATAATTATTAAATATAATTCATCAAAAAATTTATAATATAACTAGGATAATCTAGAAAAAATATGAATCTATAGTTGTTTGTTTCTTCTTGAAAGTCAAGCCTATTAGAAGTTCATCTTGAACTTTCCTCATTGCACTTAAAATTGACGATGTTGTCTTGTCTTCTCTAATCGCAACAAGTATTTTTGAAGAGTTGACGCGGCTTTAACTGCTTCCTTTTGCGTGGCCGATTCCGAAGGTGTTGAATCATCATCTTTTTTTATCCTCAATTGAACTCCCAATGACGTCAGCCACTATTACTTCTAAACTTTGTGCCTCGACACATTCATCACTTTTCCCTAGATACTCCTACAATTAACTTACATCCATCTTGTTAAGATGAATATTTATACTCAAAATAATTATGTATGAATTTGGATGATTAAGATAATACAATGAATGTTAAAAGTTAAGTTTATCAAATATAACAAATCATATTTGTACTAAAATAAAATTAATACACCACGTATGAATCTAAATTTAAGGTTATAAAGTCGTTTATGTTAACAATATACAAATAAACCTCTTTAAATTAATAAATTATTAATTTATTGATTAATTTAACTAATATATATTAATAATTTTCATGTTCCCGACTATATTAATTTATAGAGGTTTTACTGTAGTGTAGATTGAGGTTAGTGAATTTATGATTTAGGATATGGGTTGGCAACCCTATAGAACCTATTGATGCCGATATTTCACTGACCACCCTCCTGACAGTGTTTATGTTTGGGCCGACTTTTAGAAGTGTTTCTTGCTTTACCTTGTAAAGCAAGACCAAACACCTCTAAAAACTCTACTTTTGAAATGCTTAAAAGTATTTTGTATAACATAAAAGCAAAAGTTTTGATTCGAAACTTTTGCAAAAAACTTTTTGAGAAAATATAAGATTATCTTTATCATATTTTAATTTTAATTATGAAAAATATAACCTTTTCATTTATATAATTTTAAAAATAATATTATTTCATATAAATCTAACAAAATCTATTTTGAATATATAATTTTTATTTTTTAGAATTTAAATTCATATTTTATATTAAAAATCCATTTTAG